TTGTCATTTGAATTTGCACAAGACATTTTGTATACCGCATGGTGGTGGTGGTCCTGGTGTTGGTCCTATAGGAGTGTTTATTCTATGAAGAAATTAGTTAAATAATCAAAATTTACTACTTTTGCTGGTTAATTAAAAACCACTATTAGTAAGTTATGAATTATTAAACATCCTTGTTAGTATTATAAAAGTTTCAATCTAAATCTGAATAATCTTTCATTGGAGGACAAGTGCACATTAAATTTATGTCGCCATATGTATCATCTAATTTTAAGAAAAGAAAATAGTTAATTTCTTTCAAGACGGTAAGATTAAAAAAATCACCAGAACATAGCAGTAACGTACCAAGTCTTCCAACTGTTGGCCAAAATTTACGCTCTCTCAAAGATTTTATAGGAAAAGCAGCTTGTTCTCTTGTATATGTCTTATCCCACGTTGGTTTCACTAACGTTTGAATTGTATGCGGTGAATTTGTAAGGACATTATCACCTTTTGGTTGTTTACCAAGCTCGATCTCACGTATTTCTTTTCTGATGGAAATCATAGCATCACAAAATCGATCTAATTCGGCTTTTGATTCAGATTCAGTTGGCTCTATCATCAACGTGTTAGAAACTGGCCATGACATCGTTGGAGAGTGAAAACCATAATCCTTAATTTAATTAGAACCATGAATTAATAGAGTTAAAAATTATGATAAGAATTTATCACTAGAATGGAGTTGATACCTGAAGGCGTTTAGCAATATCAATTGCATGTATATCCGCACTATTTGCAAATGGTCTAACATCAACAATAAATTCGTGTGCACACATGCCATTTTGATTGGTGTATAGGATTTTGTAGTGTTCAGATAAGCGACGAACCATATAGTTCGCATTAAGCAATGCGTAATATGTGGCGGATTTCAACCCTTCACTACCTAAGATCAAAAAAAAACATAAATGTAAAATGTAACTAAATCAAGTGAAAATGTATGTTACTTAAATGTGAATTCCTACCCATCATTTTTATATATGCCCATGAAATAGGTAAAATATTTGGAGAGCCAAATGGAGCAGCTGACACAGGACCTATACCCTTATCACCACTAGTTTTGATTATTGGATGCCCAGGTAAGAAAGGCACAAGGTGAGATTTTCTAAAGAAACATATATCGATCGCAATTAATTAGATATTATAGGTATAAATACTAATAATTTCAACATGTAATCACTCACACTCCTATAGGACCAACACCAGGACCACCACCACCATGCGGTATACAAAATGTCTTGTGCAAATTCAAATGACAA